AGCTAGCTGTGGTGAGGCTGGCCCCCCCAGTGTCCCCTTTGGGCCGCTCCCAAGGGCTAAACACTCCAGTGGCAAATATACTCCCATAAGTGCAAGGGGCCCTCTCAGGGGTCGCTGCCAGTGCCCTAAAGCTCCCCTCACACCCCCAGCTTGCTGCCGAGGGGTCGCAGGACGGGCCCCTGCGGCCAGAAGGGGCAATAGGGGCCCCCTAACTGAACAAATCGGGGACACAGGGGGGCCTCCTAACATGGCAAGCTGTCCCCAGGGGCCCCTTCGGGGCCCCAGGGCCTCTGTGTGTCTGTCTCGTGAGCTCGCTCTGGAGAAGTGATGGCAGCGGAGTCACCTGGGCGCCGGTCTTGTCAATTTTGCTTTTTTCTTGACCCCTGTGAGGTCCTTTTAATATAATTAATAACTTAATTAATTAATTATTGAGCTATTAATCGACAAGTGCCGGGTGAGTTGCAAAGATAAGCAGAAATAATAACCCGAGAGCACACACAGGCGACAGCGTGGGGCCGCGCAGGCGTCTCCAGATGGCTGTTTGCAGCTTAGGGCCTCTGGGGAAAGGAGTTCATCATTTATTTTTGCTTTTTTTATAAATTCTGAAAATAATTTAAGTCACAAGTGCCTTTTGGAGTCCTTCTGGCTGGCCCGCGAGGCGTACAGACACCCCAGCCCACACAGGTGACCTCGGCCAGGGGATCGGATCCCCCGGCGCCTGTCTCGCCTCTCTGCAGCAGCAGCTGCATGCAGCAGCTGTGCTGTCTCCTTAGTGAGGGAGCAGCAGCTCGAGCTGGAGCCTGGCACCCCACAGATTGTCTCAATTGGTTGTCTGCTTCTGTCTCTTGTGTGTCCTTTGCTGCTGCAGCTCAGCAGCAGCAGCCCGCGAATGCTTGCTGCTGCTCCTGCTGCTGCTGCCAGCAACGCCGGTTCGTGCAGTGGAAAGCTGCTGCTGCCACCATGCCCGCTCAGGGCTCTCATGGCTCTCGCTAGCTCCTCCCGCTAGCTGCTGCTGCTGCTGGTGCTGCTGCTGCGGCCGGATTTTCGCTCTCTGTCTCTTCTGCTGCTTCTATTCTTTAAAGCGACCTCAGGGGCCCCGAAGCCCCTAGGCTGTCTCTGTGTCCCTGCGACTCTCCCCGCCCGCGACATGGGGGCCTCCAAGGTAGGGCCCCGCTGGGTGTCCCTTTGTCTGCTGCAGCTGCTGCTGCTGCTGCTCCCTTTTGCTGCAGCAGCAGCCCCAGACTCCCCCGGTGGAGCCCCTTACTTTAGCCCCCGGGCCAATCCCCTGGCGCTGCTGCGCCACCCCTCATCAGCAGCAGACCCTCTACAGGGGCCCTCTGCGGCCTCCAGGGCCCTCAGCTGGGCCCCACTGCTTGAAGCACTTCATGTGGGCCAGAAGGGGCTCCATATTACCCATAAGGGGCCCCAAGAGGCCCATGAGACGCCCCAAGGGACCCACAAGGGGCCCCAAGGGGCCCAAGAGGAGTCCCAAGAGGCTCACGAGGGGCCCCAAGAGGCGCATGAGGGGCCCCAGGGGCCCCGCAAGGAGGCCCAAGAGGCCCATGAGGGGCCACAGGGGGCCCACCGGGGGCCCCAGGGACCCCCGGAGGTGCGCCACATAGCTCAGGAGGGGCCCCAAGTGATGGTTCAGGGGCCCCCAGAGGCCCCGCTGGGCCCCCCAGTATCTCCGGAGGGGCCCCCGGGGCCCGGGGGGCCCCTGCGAGGGGAAGGCAGCAGCCCTGAGGGGCCCCCAGACCCCGCTTTTGGGGGGAATGGCCTGGGGGGGGACGCAGCAGCAGCAGCTGCTGGCTTAGATGACTGGGGGGCTGCAGAATGGGTGCAGCTGCTGATGGAGGGCCAGCGCCTGCCGCTGACTGGCAAACTGGTGGGCAAGGTCACCCCCAGCCCCCCTGTGCTGCTGCGGCCGCAGGCAGCAGCCCAGCTGCATGCAGCAGCTGCAGCAGCTGCTCAAAACGGGGGCTGCAGCGGGGCCCCCGAGCCGCCGGAAGCAGCAGCAGCAGCAGCTGCAGCTGCTGCAGCAGGGGGGGTGCAGCAGCCTGCACTACTCTCGGGATTCGTGGGCCCTTATGGGGGGGAGCAGCAGCTACTGGCCTGTAGAAGGCCCCCCCGGGAGGCCCCCAGCCGAGTCCAGCTGGTGGTCCACGTAGAAATGCTGCAGCCTGGGGCCCCCGTCCTTTACGCCTTTCGCTGGGGCAAGCCAGGTGAGGCTCACGCAGCTGGGAGCAGCGCAGCAGCAGCAGCAGCAGCAGCAGCAGCAGCACGGGATGGTGAAACTCTAGTGTTGTGGGGCCCATAAGAAGCAGCCACTCAGCTCTTGCTGCTAAAGACAGACATACAGCTTCATCACCTTCATTGGCTGCTTGGGGCAAGGAGGGCTTTAGAGGGGTCCTGGTGAGGCTTTGTCTCACTCTGTGCGTTGTGCGCTGCTGTCGCTGCTGCTGCTGCTGTTGCTGCTGCTGCTGCTGCTGCAGCCACGTGGACGGAGTACGACTACAAGCTAGTGGTTCAGGAGGAAGGGGTCTACTCCCTGGAGCTGCGGGAGCCGCTGCTGTTCCCCGAGCACCGACGGCCCCATTTGCTGCATGCAGAGGGCCCCAGCGTGGGGGGCCCCACGTTTCTCCGGAAGAGCCTGGGGGCCCCCGGGGCCCCCGAGGGTGGGGCCCTTGCTGCTGCTGCAGAGCCCCATGGGTTCAGGCGCCTCGAGGGGGCTCAAGGCTGCAGGGTATTTGCTGCAGGAGGGGCCCCAGGCTGGGCCCGAAGAAATACTGAGGAGCTGGGGGGCCCCCGTCGGAGGCCTTCAGCCACACCCCTTTATTATGTTATGCAGTTTGCGCCTCCCCGGAGGCCCCCTGGAGATGGCTTTAGGCCCATGAGCTTCATGCAGCATTCTCTTTGTCTGGTCTACTCGGGGACCCCCATGCTGCAGCTGCTCAGCAGC